GAGAGAGAGAGAGAGAGAGAGAGAGAGAGAGAGAGAAGAGAGAGAATTTTTTAATATTTATTTTTTTTAGTTTTCGGCGGACACAGCATCTTTGTTTTGTATGTGGTGCTGAGGATTGAACCCAGGCCGCACGCATGCCAGGCGAGCGCGCTACCACTTGAGCCACATCCCCAGCCCTGATATTTGTCTTAAATTGACTTTGTTTTCTCCTGCTTCTGGTTTAGCTAGGTACAAATATTAGGTAGCTGACTGTTCTCATCACTTTGCAGGTTTAATTTCACTGTCTTTGGCATTTATTGCTGTCAAAGAGATGTCTGATTGCCCAATTGCTGTTTCTTTGTAAGTAATCATGTAGCTTTTGAGACTGGTTTGTTATCTTGTTCTTAGATTCTCAATCATGGATATTGGCCTGGATTTTTAAAATTACTCCTTGGAATTTATTTTTAATCTGAGGACTCAGGTTTTTAATTCAGGAAAATTCTCGGCATGTATTTCTTTAATTCTTCTGATATAATTCTTCTGATATGTCTAGAATTTGTATTTGCTGAATGTTGATGTCTTTCAACATGTCATCTGTAGATTTACTTTTATGGATTCTTACCTTTTGGTTTTTCTGTGTTGCCTTCTGGGGGAACTCCCCAGGACCACCTTCCAGACTACTAATTTACTCTTTGACCGTGTCTATTCTAGGGATCATACTGCTCTCATTTTTACCACTTAGTATTAACTACTGTATCTTTCATCTTATATAATTTCTCTTTGTGGCTTTTTTTTCATCTTATTTCTTCTCATTCAATTTATATCTTTGTTTCAAAACTGTGTATATTCCTAGTGAAAGTCAGTTTTTCACTTATTTTCTTGAACATCTTAACCATATTTATTTAAACCATTTTGTCAGATTGTTCTTAACACTGGATGGTTAACACAGATTCTAACTAGTGGTTCGAATTCTAACTTTGGTTAGCAATAGATTTCCAAAGATATTTTAAGATTTTGATTTTCAGGATCATTTTGAGTGGGATGCTTTGCTTTGGCTTCTCTCTTTCCTTATTCTTGCCTCCCTAGCAGTTTTGCAATTGCTTCTACAAGGCCCTTACAGCCCAATACAGAACTAGGTTTTGTATTGCTGTTTTGAAGTTTATTCTCCTTGGTGATGCTGGGGAATCAAAAAAGCAACATGTATTCCCATGTCACAGTCTCCAGTTATTAAAGTACAGCTTCTCTGTATTTTAATGGTCTTTTTTTTCTTTCTGCTGCATCCTAGGCAAATTCCTTTTGCTCCCCTTTCCAGTTCCTTTAGTTTCTCTTTAGCTGTATCAGAAAACCCCTTCATTGACCTTTTATATTTTTTGACTATCAGACTTCTATTGGGTTCTTTTTCAAGTTTGTCTATCCTCTTCCCCCATAATATTTCTGGTCTTCAATAGTTTAAAAATACTTAACATATATTCTCTTTCAGAATGTTCTAGTATCTTGTTTTCTTGGGAGTGCTAATTCTGTTATTTGTATCTGCTGACTCTCCTCATGGTGTGTTATTTCCTTGTTTTTTTTTTTTAATTTCCATAGTTTTTWAAAAAAATATTAGATTTCTTTAACAAGGGTAATATTTCCTAAAGAAATCAAATGTTCCTTAACTTGGATAAGTTTCCATACAGAGTGGTTTTCATATTTGCTTTTGATGTGACTTTGGGGGTATGAATGATATGTCATTTCTCGACGTGTTACATGTCAACATGGGATTCTGGCACTGAGGAGGTTGTGTTAGCATGGAAGCTGATGTGCAAGGTATGAGCAGAGTCTGACTTTGTATGGAACACCTCTGTTCCTCTTGTATAGCCCCGAGAAGGTCACAAGGCCCATGATGCTGCCTCCCGAGTGGCCCAGTGTTGTGCTCTTCCTGCTTTCTGATGACCTGGTCTGAGGACCCTTGTATTTGTGTCTTAGGCTTCCCGGGCCACCAGTGCGTTAGCTCATGTGGTGGTTCTTGTCTTTGAAATTTATCCTTATTTCTAGCACCTGGGGATTCCCTCCTCCTTCTTTTAGCCATGGCTCTGTTTTTATAATAAGGTGAGGTGGCCAAGTATGTAAAGTGATGAGCTCTTAATTTATAGACACACAGGATAAAATATAGTTACTAAAATTGGCTTTGGAGGAAGGCATTAATTTTAGCTTTGCTACTCTTGTGCTGTGTGACTTTGCTTCTTGCATTTTTTTTCTTTTTATCGATGCTGTAGCAAATGACCCAAAATTAGTGGCTTAAAATAACACATTTAGGTCAGAGGTCTGAAATGGCTCTCGAGGGGCTACAACTGAGGTGCCCCAGAGCTGTGCCCCCCCCCCCCCCCCCCCCCGTGGATGCTCGGGTGAGAATCTGATCTCTTGCCTTCTGGAGCTTCCAGAGACCATCTGTTCTGCAGGGTAGCAGCTTGGGCTACTTGGGATAGCCATGAATCTACCCCAAGCTGCGCCCTCTCTGGGTCTCTCTTCTCAGTCCCTCGTCCACTTTCACAGTCCCATCAGACTCTCAAGCTAATTCTCGACAATCTGTTTGTCCTAAGGTCCGCTGGCTGGCAGACTGGCTTCCCCTCTGCCAGGTCAAGGAGCACATTCACAGGCTCCGGGTCAGGACGCAGCTGTCCCCAAGGGGTCATTATTCTGCCTCCCACACCTTCCCACAGCTCTGGCTCCTTCCTTGCAAACCAGGGCTCTGCCACGGAGCAGCAGTTGATATGTAATGGAGAACGTTACAGTGATGCTATCATCATCAGCAATCAGAGTTTTCTCCATCATGTTCACGGAACAGGGCTGAATGTGCCTGGAGAAGCTGTGAGATCTCAGTCTGAGACATTCTCAGAGCACAATTCAGTAACTAGCTCAGGGCCAACAGCCATGAGCAGCCACAGCGGAGCACCACGTCACCCAGGGGAGCCACAGTGACATTCCACCTGTCCCTCTGCTCAACGAAGGTGTCACTAACGAACTTACTGAGCACCAACCCCAGGCCAGGCACTGTGCCTGGTGCCACATGGAAGGGGGAGTGGGTTGGGGGTACAGAATCGCCACGGCTCCTTAAAAAGTCCACCAGAAATGGGTGTGAGAAGCACACATGTTGTCATCCAGGTTGTAAAGTGTGACATTCCCTTTTCTTGAGCAACACGGTCAGCCTCAAACACCTGTCACAGAAAACCAGCCCTGGGCTTCAACACCCTAAACCCAACTTCCCAGAATAAGGAAAAATCAGTACTTTAGAAAGGAGAGAAAAGTGCAGTGTTTCAGAAAAGAATCTATCATTAGAAGAGGGTGAATATTAGCAATTAATGTGAACAAGATTTAAACAGTTCAATTAGACAATGCTGACTCAAGCAGTTCAGTGACAGAGTGTCAATTCAGATGCTTGGCAAACACTCAGATGGAACTAAAAATGTCCCTTTTAGTTTGGCTGGCTCTCGGGCTGGAGAAACAGGGTTTGTTTCTGTTTTTGCAGATAAAGTCTTATTGGACCCCAGCCCTGCCCACCCACTCACTGCTGCACCCTGACGCAGAGTTGAAGAGCTGCCCAGAGGCTGGGTGGCTCTCAGGACCAGAGGTGTTCAGTGTCTGCACCTTACAGAGGAAGCTCCCCAGCTGGGCCCTCCCTGTGGGGGTCACTACTGCGATGACTTCTCACCTTCCGCTTCAGCCCTGGGACAGACCAGGAGGGAGGCTGTGTCCGTCCTCACCATAAGCCAGCTCCCAGAGGGGGCAGGCTTGGACGAGGACTTCAACTCTCCCTTTGGTGACAGTGTGCCCAGGATTGGGGTGACCTTCAATTCCATAGATAAAATTTTCTTCTTTTGTCTTCCCAGTTGGCCAAGGAGACTACCTCAGGGACAGAAAGGGGACACAGCTGTGTTCATTTTGAGGTAGAATGGAGCCAGCGGTGTGGGAGGAGTGGCCCTGGTGTCAGGGACAAGGCTGCCTTGTTTGTGTCTTGGACCACTTCATGAAGGACAAGTCCTAAGACAGACTCTCCGAAATTTGTGTCCCTCTTGGAAGAGGAGTTGGAACAGACATCTCAAACTTTCCTCCAGATCCAAAGAATGTGGTGACCATGTCAGAATGTGATAAAAAATTTGGATACTAAATTTTGCTGAGTTCCCTTGTGGTTTCCTACATCAAGTACACTGAAAACTGAAGTGTGCCACGGCAAGTGTGTGGCCGAACAACCTCAACTTGAAACATGCTATTTAGGGACAGTTTTCCCCATGCAAAACTTATTCCATAATATGAAGTAAAATGTGAGAAACAAGATAAGGGCATGTGTGTGTGTGTGTGTGTGTGTGTGTGTGTGTGAGAGAGAGAGAGAGAGAGAGAGAGA